TCCTCCCAGCATTTTCAAAGAGAACCTTCTTTCTGTACTGCTTTGCACCCGAATATTTTGCGTTTAGATGCTTTCTCAACCACTCCCAAATACAAAAGTAGAATATGACAGCTCAAACCCAGCCATTTGGCATTCATAATGTTCAAAGAGCATTTGAAACTAAAGCTATCATACCTATCAGAACTGAAACAAAGGGGGGGGGGGGAGAGAAACTGCACATCAGCACTGCGCTGAAAAATATGCTGAATTTTATGAGGAAACACTACACACATTTCACTCACACTACAAGTACTCAACATGTTTAAACATCAGTTTCTAAATACTGTGTTTAGCACACAAACAAAACATCCCACTCCTACACCAATTTCAAGGCAACAACAAGATCTCAAACAGCATTCCTTAAAGCAGCGGCTTTCATTTCTGCTCTATCATTTGATTAAACTGTGCAACCGCACAAGTCAATGCTTCCCAGTTGGTACGTCTAATTCATCAATCCATCCCTATAGAAAGAGTATTCATCAATTCCAGGATAAATAAATTCCCACCAATTCCTCTTTCCATTGTTCAGGTAGTTAAACTTATGACCTTAGTCCAAATACAAATCCACTCGCAGTTGCAAATTGAATCATAAATTAGGTCAAACTTTAAAACCAAATAATTAATCAAGTTTGATAATGCTTATCATTTCGTCTCCATGGTCAAGTCAGAGGTTTGCGAGAAGGATCTCAGCCCTGCAGATCTTTCTTTTAACCCTTCCAGTGGCACTGGAGGTGTATCGAGTCTTTCATTGCCGCAGATCCTCCGAGTATGTGGCTTAGAAGAGATGAGCGTATCTTAATGAACCATGTATATACAGAATAATAATTAGCTTTTTTTTTTTAACACCTTCGAGATTTGGTAACGCCCATCCACTAACCCTTGGACATACAGGTAAGCAGGTGCTAGCAACATGGTTAGTTCTTGTTCACACTGACTGCTACAGGAAAAAAGGAAAATGATTTCTGATGCTAGCACAAAAATACGAGACAACAGGAAAAAATACCTTTTGCTCTAACTGATCTGCATCTTCTCCATCTAAACGATATGAAGAATCTGGCCCTCCGTACCTTTGAAAATCTTGCTCCAGATTTTGCTTAAATTCCTCAATCCAGGTTTCTTACCACTGCCCTGACCATAGTGGAAGGCCATTTTGGCCAAAACAGCTATCAATGCTACTGGAGAGTCCCCACCGAAGGGCCACGATGATTAAGGGACTGGAGCATCTCTTACCCAAGGAAAGGCTGAGAGAGGTGGGACTGTTTAGCCTGGAGAAGGCTCAGGGGGAATCTCATCAATGTGTATAAATATCTGAAGGGAGGGTGTAAAGAAGGATTCTCAGTGTGGTGCCCAGTGACAGGACAAGAGGCAGTGGGCAAAAACTGAAACATGGGAGATTCCACCCGAACATCAGGAAACTCCCCCCCGAACTGTGAGGTTGACCGAGTACTGGCAGAGGTTGCCAAGGGAGGCTGTGGAGTCTCCACCCTTGGAGATACTCAAAAGCTGTCTGGACAGCAGAGATACTGCAATATTATGAAGGCATTCATTCTTGTTGGAGTTCTGGGGAAGTTCCATCAGCAGCAAAGCATACATATGTTTAAAATAAGCAAACCGTAAGAATACACCGCAACGATCTGCATTTCCCCTAGAAACAGGAGAAGTTACTTACCTGTCAATTTTCACGTAACCTTATTTCTTCTTTAAAGGAAGGACAAAAGCATGCAGGAAGAGCAAGGACTGGAAACAGTCAAAATAACGTAGGTGCCTTTTCACGACACTGCACACCCACGGCCCTGAGCGTACAAACTGTTACAGACTGGGTGCCAGAAGAAAAACCGACAAAGACAAAGGCATCAACAACTATTAAGTGCGTTGTTTCTTCTGCACACCCACGGCCCTGAGCGTACAAACTGTTACAGACTGGGTGCCAGAAGAAAAACCGACAAAGGCATCAACAACTATTAAGTGCATTGTTTCTTTCACCTTGTTACATTCCGTTATGTCCACACACCTCTTTTCTTATACATTTCTCTACGCAAAAGGGTTACATTCAGCCTGTGCTCCTCCATTTATATACTGTATACTCGTTTGTTCTTTATAAGTCACTCAGCACCACACTGACTTTCTTAAAAACATTATGTTAAGGATCATTCCTTCATTCAGAGACCGTGCAGTAAGGAGAGACAGCAGGAGGGGTGCTTGGCACGAACAATGCTGGAAAGAACATGAAGTATTCCTACACCCACTTTTCCACCCTCCTTAAACACAACAGAAGTTTACAGGTAACGGTGAAGCAAAGGCTGAGGAAGAGAGAAGGGAAATGAGGAAGGAAACACCAGGTCCCATACCTCTCTTAAGCATAAAGAGAACTACGGCTAGAGGACAGCAATACTTCATATTCACCACTACCGCCATTATCAGGGACGCCCTGCAACATCACAGCATTGATTGAGATTAGCCATCCAGAAAGGACAAGTATGTGACATCTGGGACAACCTGAGGAACTGCAGCTACTAATAGAATCTGATCTTTCTGCATCTGTCTCACTTTCTTCTTGATGTATGACTATACAGATGAACACATCTCCCTGGCACCCAAGGTAACTGATTTACCGAGGGGGATTAACCCCAAGGTCTACTTGAGACTTCAAGTAGAATGCTTATTAGTTGACCGGCAACCAAAGGTCTGCAAAATCAGTGCATTTGTGCTGCTCTACAAAAAAGTTAAGCTAGAAGTTTGGAAAACAGCTGCAATATCCCTTAATATCTGCGATCTCAATGCTTCTTTGAGCACAACAAATGAGAAATCCATGCAAATTCACATCTCCTCCAATTCATGGCTGCATCTCAAAACCCCTACAACAGACAAAGGGGATCGTTCTGCACAAGGACGTCAAAACAAAACACTTCTATGGTCTGTCTCCAGAAGAAGATGCAAGGTTCGATGCTATTCCTAGCACAGGCTTTTGAAGACACCAAGACTGGCATTTGCAGAAGCCATTAAGGGTTCAAAGGTTCTAAACAACACACTTGAAACACCAATGATAGATGCCTATGACAACGTTTTCTGCACTTCAGCATCATTCCTGCAAATGGTCACCAAACAGCATCAAAGCTCCAACAGGTAACACTCTGAAGAGCTATAGCTGCCTTTCGCAGATAGCTCAACAGCTCTTTGGACTATTTGGTACTTATGTTGGCCAAATGGTCCAGTTCACATAATTTATACAACGCAAGCTCAACTTTCAGATTCTCTCTTCCTGTCTGCCCTCCAGCACACAAACATGTATGATGACTAACAGAGCTAGTCTCTTAGACAGAGAGAAAACCTTTCCAGAAGTTACACATTCTAATGTGGTACAAAAGCCCCAAATTCTCCATGATTTCTATGTCAGTATTCATGAAATGCTTACCTGCTCCTTCTCAGACTGGGAACCAGAACATATTAAGTGCAGAAGTTACTGATGCAACAAGCAGCTCAACGATACACACTTACCTCGTTACTGCAAACAGCTAAGGAAGTCAGAATAAACGTAACACACAAGTACACAAAGAGTCCGCAAAATTTTATTTAAAGAAACATGTTCAAATGCAGCATTGAAAACAGAGAGAGTGGAACGCCAACAGTCAGAGAACTTACGCTGAGTTATGTTTTCTTTGATAAACTAGCACCATTGAATCACAAGTCACAGACTAAATTATTTCTAGAGGTGTAAAAAACCTCCACCATTATGAAATTTCTAAGAGTTCTATTAACAATTGGTTCTCAATTTACTACTCCTAGAGATGAAAGCAGTCTGAAGTACAAATTTTCGTATCTACTCACTGTTCAAGTTACCCATAAAAGACAGTTTATTCTTAAGTCTAAACATCCTGATCAAGGGGAAAAGTCTAAAAGTCAGCTTCACGAGTCTTTACAAACTAAACAAGAAAGATCTACTGTGTTATAAATACACACAGTACAATATGTACAAGTCTGATCTTACAAAATAAGAGCTTCCTAGTCCATAAAAATACTAACTCAACTACAAAATTTTCTTCCTGTTTAGTCAAGCTGTCTCAAGCAGTCACTATATCAAATTCCTAAAACACTCACTTGTTCCATAGCACAGCAGCTTGAACGTGTTCACAATGGGAAAGGAGCCCAACACTTCACCATAGAACTGATTTCTAATCCTAAATTTCCCACTCAAGTTTAGTGGCAACGTTAGTGTTTGCTATCTATTTTAATGTCACAAGACCTTTACATATTTCTAGACTGTGTTTGAACTATTCAAAGTGCTGAAAGTGCGATCAAAGAATAGAGTTTTGTATCCGTTTTCCAGTACACCCTTCTCTGGCACTGGCAACAAGAGCCAAGTATTTATAGGTCTGTGAGGTCAAAAAGGCACACGCTCATCTGTACGTGCTCCGGTAAGTATGCACAGATACACACATGCACTTTGCTTTAAAGACCTGCCCCTAAATATTAAAATGCTTCTTTTTGAGTATGGAGCTTCAAGAATCCCTTACAAATGGTTTAATGCAGATGCCCGAAATTCATAAATACCTTGATACAAACTGCTTAAAACGACTGAGACGGTGGTGAAGAAAAATGGGTTTGGTTTTAAACTTAGGGAATCCAAGTATTGCTCTGGAATACAGAGAAACAACGTCTAAGCTCTCACACTCTTTATCAAGCGATGTCCAGGTTACAGTAGCCCATTGTGATTCATCATTTCATTACAGTTAACACAGCATACGTGAGCATACACATAACGCTCCCTCACTATTCGTTCTTCTATTGGAGACCATCTGCAGTCTGAATGAAAATAAAACTATCTGAAGAATGTTTCAAGCAATATCCTTTCGTATTACACATACAAGTACAAGAAATGACAAAACTGAACTGCACCTCAACCAGATTACAGACTTTCACCAATACGCAAGTTAACATTGCTTCTTCCTTTTCACTCTCCTTCCCTACAGTGGTCTTCTACGACATGCATCATAATAACTAGTGCTGTTAAAAACTAAGAACATATCCCTCTTGACAAAGTTAACGAATTTTTCTAGTGGGCACATTGGCTTGCTGGAACGTTTATAATAATCCTTGCAAAATGAGGTCTGGAATGTGACGTCAGCGCCATTATACAGGATGCGGATAAAGTGTTCTTTGGGTCTCTTCCCATCCTGCCACAGCTCAAAAACTAATCTGGCAGCAAATCTCGGAAATCTGGCCTCTGTAATGCCCAAGGCACTAAGAACCGGTGACAACGTGACATCGTGCGCAGAGTAAAGAACAAATACTTCTTCCTTCTTGCCTTCTGCAATACGCTGCAGCCGATTAACAGTCTGGTTGAGGAGAGGATGAGTAGCCAATAGCGCATACAAGAAATAAAGTTTCTTTTCCTGTCTTTCTCTCTCATCCTCCAACTGATGTCTTTTGATTACTTTGAAGTGTTCCATACCAATGCAGCCAGTTTTGGTACACGGAAAACTGACATTGTGGCAAAAATAGCACAAGAGAGAATCTATTGGGTTAGAAGCTCTCAGCTGCCTGGTGGGAATGCCTACAATCTTTGCCATATCCACATATATTTTCTCCAAATCATTGTTTTTCACCCGTAAACTGTACTGTCTGCGCTGCTCCTCTTCTAGGTAGTGGTTTCGCATAGGACAGTCGCAGTTTCCAGAGCAGAAAATGGTGCTCCACTGATGCCTCATGTTAATTTTCTTCCAGTCAAAATCTGGCAAAAAAGTGTAGAGCAGCGCCAACGCGCTCTGCAGGGTTCGACTTTTTCCTGTTGTCTCCAAGTAGAGGTGTTTTGCTGTCCAGTCACTCAGAAGCAGTTTATGTTTGTTTATATAAATTTCTCGTAATAGTTGTCCGTTTCGCAAGTGTTGTACAACCCCTGGAAGAGATTTTTTTAAAGAAGTTACAATACATGATTAGAATCCTCTTAGTTTTGGAGAAAAAAAAATAAAATACACAGCTAGCAGTCTTACTGATAAATGCACAGTTAGTTAAAAGTTTACGAAATTCAAAACTGAACTTCACCTATGCTTGGCCATTAGGAAAACTGCACGAAATGAGAGATACTTGCTGTTCTTCAGCATCTCTCAGATTCTAGGAGCTAAACTGAGATACAGATAGAAAAAGCTGGTTCCATAAAATTTGTTTAAAACCTTAGTGGTTTAATGTTTGATCTTTGGACTAGAGACACAGACCGAATGCGTCTAACACGGTTAAGATGGTTACGAGATGGATCCAGACCGCATCTGAGTCAGGTTTCCAGCCAGGCAGTGAATGCTGCGCTCCCTGCAAGTTTACGGCAGCCAGCAAAAGTACCGGCAGTCAGGAAATGAATATACAGAACGCAAACCAGCCTGTCAACTCACAAAACAGAGTGGTGAGGCGGTATCCTTTTCACACGCCCAAAACCTCTACTCCAGCATCCATCCCACAGCAAAGCAACAGGCACGAACCCTTCATGCACTAGAACATCTACGTAACTGGCTACAGGGAACAGGAGTCTCAACTAGTAACTCGGTTACAAGCTGTGTGCAGTGATGAACCCCGTTTCACACGCAGCGTGCTGGGTTAGGAAGAGTTCCTTGGTAACCTGACTAGATTCCTCCTGAGGTCACTTTGCAAGACTTCACACTGGCCTAACACAAATATTTCTTCTGACGGGATCCCAGAACATACGGGGATTTGGCAGGCAATTTTTGGACTACAAAATACAGGAGATTCCTGGAAAGACACTTGTCAAAAGGAAAATGGTGCTAACTCCCCAAATCTTCAACACTATTTTCAGTCTCCCCAGTGAGTCTCCAAACCCGTTGACTACCCAGATCCACTGTGATATGCTCTTTCACTCATTGGTATTTCAGATAAAAAGAGCAACACAGTTAAAAGCAAGGTGTGGGAATAAAATGGAATGGATCGACGTTAAAATTTGAAAAGACGCAGGAGAACAGAAAAGTATTATTAATATCAATTTTCAAATTAAATTAATGAATGTTGAAGAGAAAAATCCACATGACTAACCCTTTTCACAATCACATTTCTACCCAGTTGTGCAACAGTGTGTTTCCACGTTTGTGGGAAAGCACCTCTGTATTTTCGTTTTTGACGCACTGATACAAATACATGCAGAAAAATTAGTGCAGCAAACAAACACACGGACTTCAGTTCGTACCGTTCAGCTGGCTATTCTGGGTGGAGAACACAAACAATTCCAAGAGCTGTGGAACCTGTGAAAATCTGTTTCTTACAAAGTGGCAGCTTTCTACGCTTGTGCCTTCTTACCTTTTGTTCCCCTCATATTATCTGTTGCCTGCTGACAGCGGTCCCAGGTCCTTTCCAATGGCTCTGACCCAGCACCACCTCCACTTTCCCTCTCCAATCCCAAACCCTTTGTCTCTTCCTAATATTCCCAATGCCCCCAGCACCACAACACTCCCAGGTCTCCGCTTACTTTCTCCTACGTACTCAAATCCCCGACTGCAACACTTCCAGTCACCTGCCATCTCCTCTACCCTTTTGGTATAAACTGAAGAGTATGTTCACGAGCAGAGCTCAGCAGCCTTTCTCTCAGTGGCAGTATTGATGAAGTCTCAAAACTTCATTTTTTAAAGAAGTTGTTTGGAATTTAATTGCTGATATTTTCACCTTTTGTCCCAATAACTAGCTCAGCAGAATTCATAGATGGAATAAGAAAAAAAGCTTTACTTTCCTGTGGTGAAAATACACATAAATAAATATGCTAGAAAACACGCTTCGTTACAAAGCTTGGGGGGGTGGGGGGGTGGGTGAGGAAGAAAGCACTAGATGTTTAAAAGTTTTTCAATTTCTGTAATACAAGCATCAAATGTGTCTGTTACATCGGAGTCTCTTGCAGGGGACACAGTAGTTGCATCACAGGTAAAAACTGGTAAAAACTGGCAACTAAGTGATGGTTCTTCAGTTCCAGGGCCATTCTGAATTACAAACCCATCAGTAACAGAGTCCCAGACCTTCCTCAGGAGGGGCTGAGCAATGTCATTTTTCACAAGGGTGACAAAGCAATTTTGTGGTGTGGTGCAACATCAAGGAAAGGTGTTCTGGCTTGTTACAAAAAGTTAAGAGAGATGCCGTGGCGATCTATCTGTAACAGAATGCAGGCAAGCTATAGGATAAAGCATGGTTTCTAAAACTGTTACTGCTTTTACAGTAGAGAGCCCAATACTTTATTCATATCCCAGCACAACCTAGGCTATGACCAACACTGTAAGCTTCCCATCAAAAAGCCCGTATTTCAATATAAAGAAAAATAGAAGATCCCTTTTCAAGCAGACTGCATTTAACAGAGCAGAGGAGAAGACAGAGCTGCTGTGGGACTTACCTGTCTGTGTAAGCTCTCCCATTTCGCACAAAGAATGACTAGGGTAACGAGGCAGGCTGCTTAGGGAACCATCCATTTGGGCTGCAGACCCTTTGGACATATGTTTAATGAAAGCTTCAAGCTGAGGATGAGAAGGTTTCCTAGGGAGGTAAACCAAAACGTGAGAACTTCCAAAAGCATATGGGAAAACAGCTCAAGAGAGTCAAGTATTCTAAGTATGTCAGCTCGGAAATTTCATGGTGTGAGGTTATTTCCCACTGAGACAACATCTGCTCTTCCTCAGGACTTTTGCAAGTATGCAAAAGAAATCTAACTACTTACTACCTACCAAAGAGCTACAGGGAGGCTGACGTCATGTTAAAATTATGATACCTTTCGGTAAGTAATTCGGAAAGATTTTTTTGGGTTTCTTTGAATGCAGTCGACTAGGGTAACGAGGCAGGCTGCTTAGGGAACCATCCATTTGGGCTGCAGACCCTTTGGACATATGTTTAATGAAAGCTTCAAGCTGAGGATGAGAAGGTTTCCTAGGGAGGTAAACCAAAACGTGAGAACTTCCAAAAGCATATGGGAAAACAGCTCAAGAGAGTCAAGTATTCTAAGTATGTCAGCTCGGAAATTTCATGGTGTGAGGTTATTTCCCACTGAGACAACATCTGCTCTTCCTCAGGACTTTTGCAAGTATGCAAAAGAAATCTAACTACTTACTACCTACCAAAGAGCTACAGGGAGGCTGACGTCATGTTAAAATTATGATACCTTTCGGTAAGTAATTCGGAAAGATTTTTTGGGGTTTCTTTGAATGCAGTCACTAACACTGTTGTGAATTTAAAAAAAAAAACAAAAAACGAAAAAAAAAAAAAACCAAACCCTTACCAAAAAAAAAAACTCTCCATTTTGCAGGATCCATTTGGGCTGCAGACCCTTTGGACATATGTTTAATGAAAGCTTCAAGCTGAGGATGAGAAGGTTTCCTAGGGAGGTAAACCAAAACGTGAGAACTTCCAAAAGCATATGGGAAAACAGCTCAAGAGAGTCAAGTATTCTAAGTATGTCAGCTCGGAAATTTCATGGTGTGAGGTTATTTCCCACTGAGACAACATCTGCTCTTCCTCAGGACTTTTGCAAGTATGCAAAAGAAATCTAACTACTTACTACCTACCAAAGAGCTACAGGGAGGCTGACGTCATGTTAAAATTATGATACCTTTCGGTAAGTAATTCGGAAAGATTTTTTTGGGTTTCTTTGAATGCAGTCACTAATACTGTTGTGAATTTAAAAAAAAACAAAAAACGAAAAAAAAAAAAAACCAAACCCTTACCAAAAAAAAATACTCTCCAGTTTCTGAAGTACCATTGCACTTTAACACCACAGCCAAAGGCGCTAACAACCTATAAAGGGGTTCAAATAACCAGTATTTTAAGTAGATGAACTTGAAGGAATTCTCAGGTTTTGTAATGTACAATGCTGATTACAATCTCGGCCTTTATTTCTCATTACTTCAGGCTTCAAATCAAATAGCACACGTAGCCTCAATTAAGCGGCACCCGGAAAGTAGTATCCAGTGGCCCCATTAAAATTGGAAGTCATTGTTTTGGGTATTGTACTATTACACAAAGAAGAAAGAATCCAACACTGCTGGACACTTAAACAGATGAGACACCCCCACAATGCAAGTAATGAGTACAACTGGAAAAGAGATACACACAAAAAAGTCTAGGTTAACTCACTGAAACAGAATTCAAGTCAGTGAAAGAATGCTGAGATCTCCTAAACCGTTCTGCAAATTTCAAACACACTACAGACTCCCTTCACTGTTGTACTGTTGTGATGAAAACTACATATACAAACCAGCCCACAAACAACGTAATCGAAAGGGATTTAAACCTTTAAAAAAAAAATCTGTGATCACACTTCCACAACAGAAATACATTACATAGGGATTTCTTTGTTAAATGTCAAGGTTCCACAAATGTCACGCAGTCGCGCCTCTACTTCTGTGCAGAACTAAATCAGAAACTGTTTGGCAACCCAACTCTGCCCCAGATGGTTCTCATTTTAATAGGACTTTCAGCCTGAATGCGGTAAATATTTTTATGTTGCTCACAAAAAAACATATATATATAAAAAGAAGATAAATTTGGTCATAGAACTTTTACAGAAGTCTGGGGTTTGTGTTTACTGTTCATATTAACACTGTGCTAGAATGATAAACTGTTTTGGTACAAAAACTTCAGCTCTAAAAAAAAAAAAGCTTCCAGAGTTGCAGGAACCACGAGAGGGAGCAATAACACTACTAAAGTATGAGTAAGTGTCTGGAATCACAGCTTACTAGGACAAAGACATTCATGCTTACACAGAAGAGCCAACTGAGACACTCTTAAATGAGAAAGCGCCTCTTGCAGAGCTATGCTCACAGCATGCACGTACAGGAGGTCCCATCAGAACCCGTGCCTCTGTCAACAGAGAGGTAGCTCACTGTCGTGTCATTTTCTAAAACTTGAATTTTCCAGTATTTAATTTACCTTCAGGGAAAAAAAAAAATCTTGGGAGGAAAATGTTACGATAAACTATGGTACAACTGTCAGCAAGAAAAAAAATGCAAAATGAGACAAAAAGCAAAATGAGAGAAAAATATCAAAAGAAATTTTTTCATTTTTACTTCAAAGAGAAAGGAAAAGCAGCCAACGTATGACATCCTAAATCCACAGCTGCTTCTGTATATTGTAATTTTAACAAGGCAAATGAAGATTAATATTTGAGAGGCAGAGGTACACAAAAAAGGCTTTTGTTCCTTTCTAAAGCAGTGGCGGCTTCCTCTTGCTCTGAGCATACATTAGGAAGCTTAGTCCAGCTCCAGACGTGAATTTCAAACAGAACTTTTTGTACATTTCACTGTTTTCACAGCCCAGCAGCACAATCTAAAAATGGAAGAATTAAGTTGAGAAAATTAAATTAAACCCGTTAGCAAATAGCTTCTTAAGCTTATTACAGACGTAGCAGACCGAACTACCAATTTTCTAAACTTTGCACCTTAAAAAAAACTCTGAACATGAATAAACTGTCAGTTGTAATTTTCCTTATTCCCTGTTTACTTAATTAGCAAGTTCTGCAAATACATGTGCAAGAAAACTAAAATAACTGCCTTATCCATTCTGCTTCTTTTGCTGCTTTGCTTACAAAAACCGGAGTTCTGACGGAATCAAACCTGTACTGATAAAACCGTCAGCAATCACTTGTGGGAAGGAAGAAAGGAAAGAAGAAAAAAAAGCATTTATCAGTGCTTTGCAAAAAGATTTATCAAAAAAATGGCAGGCAAGATAAACTAACATCCAAGATAAAATGATGAAATGCACGATAATTGTTGAAATTATATGCCAATGTATTAATATAGCTTTTCACATACATACGTAGCTGCAAGTTGCTTAACTTTGGATTACATTATTTTTAAAGTGAGCACAAGTTAAGCACATGCTTGCAGAAGTGAATTATGAAATACGACTGTTAGACATATTTCTGAATATAAATTCAAAGCTTACTACTTGTTAAATATATTCCAGAGGAAGAAAAAAAAATAAAAATCAAACAACAGAAATAAGAGCCATTCTGCCTGAAGGGGACAGACATCTCAGGCTATGATATACTTCTACCCTGAACGTAATCCTCACGTACATAACCAAATTGTGAACACACCAGCAAGTCTCCTGATTAACCCGTACAACTGAGCAACTAAAAACTTACTTGTCTCCACAGCAAAATTTACAGCCCCACTCAGGCTACTAGCTAACAAATGATTCCCCCTCCCCGCCCCAAGATTTCTCTTTTATTTAGAATACGAATCCTCCTGCTGAATTGGCCAATTTACAGATGCCGCAGGAGATGGAGTATCCAGGCAACACAGCGAAGACTGCTGGGACTCTTTGAGCAGGAAGCAAAGAAAATCGCTCAGTTGTGTAGTTGAAAAGACTGAAGTATCCTTAAAATTTTATTTCCATAAAAGCAACCAGAAAATAAAAACGGGTTGAAGAGAGATCCTTCTGTAATTCGCTGGCCATTACGACGGTCAGCTACCACGTTTGGGAAACGTATTAATACAATAAACACTTCAAATTTTGTCAGAACATGGAGTGGCTTTTCACCTAACACCACCAGTAATAGCCATACTTCTTCCTAAGCTTGAACATTTATTTCCCATTTTTAACGTCTGGTAATTTGCCTTGTAATGATTTTATTTTTGTAAAATAAAATAAATTTTACCTGTAACAAAACTGAGGATGCTTCTTTTCCCTCAAATAATGAACGCAGCTTGTCTTTTTGTTATTTACAAACTAAACACTGGGATAATAGATCCCAGATTTAATACTGTAGTTTTCATGCACTAGCATTAAAATGGACCAACATTTAAATCCTTATTCAACATTTAAATATCTTACTTGTAAAGGTCTTAAAAAGCTTTAATACCGAAATGCCATCTCTTTATTGCCACGCTGTAACCAGCGTACACGGAAAAAAAATCATACTGTGCAACGATTTGAACTATATGTGTATTTCTGCCAGCAACTGAGCTGACATCCTTCAATAAACATTTCCTTTTTCCTTGAGGAGATTAGATTAAAAAAAATAAAATACCTCTACATTTTTGTTTGAGAAGCAAACACTAACTTGCTGGTGGTTCTGAATTAGCACAAAGTGAGAAATGCAGTACCAGAGTGAGCATATGCACATGATGCCTCAGAAAATCTGCTGATAGATTTTGGATGGCTTATCTATAATGGCACAATATACTGTGCCAGAAACATGCATGAAAATACATTTATTGCACCTGTATGTGCAAAGGTATGAAATATAAGTCAGCTCAACATTAAGTTCAAACATATTACACAGCAAAGCCTCAAATCTCGTGTAGCAGCACGGAAACTTTGTCACAGGACATTTTCGCACCCCACCCCCACGAGACTAACTGAATTCAGGACTCCAAGGGTGAGGATTTAGGAACTGCTGTGGGAGACAGCGGGGCTTTCCGCCCCTGGATAAAGTGATGCTCAGACTGTTTGAGTGCATGGAAGCCTCTTTTGGTAAGAGGTTAGTTCTTTGAGCTAACTGCCTTCGTTTAAAAAATAAAATAAAATAATAGTAAAGA